TTTTAATCCTGCCATTTACTTTGTGCCACAATGCTCGTTCATGTTTAATGTCCTTTCATTTTGTATTTGACTCGAAGCTGCTTTTGTTTTTTTGATTTCCTGTTGTTTTCGGTTTTTGTTTCTGTTCTGAATTGTTGGATCTGACTGAAATTCATCCCATGCTAAGCTGAAGAGGCCTGGCTCTGTTTTATTTGATAATTGCTTTTTGAGGTTTCATGCCAACTCTTCTTGAAATGCAAACTAATCAGGTACGAGATAAGATTCCAAACAAATATGGCTAAATGTAGTTAAAAATTAAATAATTTAAAAGCTTTATTAATACATTTAAAATATTTTAATTTTTGTCTTGAATTGTTTCTTAAATTATTAACAGAGGTTTTTAAATGGGACTCCACAGAATTGGCTATTTTGCAATTTGGGGTGAAAGCCTAATCCAAATTGATAAATGGCTTGTTGTATTAGTTCACACACGAATTAGTTCAGACTTTAGTAATTTGTATTTCAAGTAGCTGATTAATTATAGCCCCATTAATTATAGAAATTAGTGCTTATAACGGGTCAAGGTATTCACAAATGGTGTTAATATTTAATATTATTAATTAATATTATAATTGTTCCTTAGTAAAGTAAGTTTAATACATTGGAAAAATAATAAGACAAATTTAGATAAAGTAAATAATTATATTTATCAATGTTCGTTAATAACTTTATATACTGTTCATTTTTTCCCCAGGTAGGAAAGAAAAATATAAAACTTTTATCTGTTAATTACAAAGCTTATTAGTTACAAAAAATGACAACAATGTGTAATATCGCTTTAAAGTGAACTCTCCCTTTCCTAGTTTTAGTAAAAAGAAGGAGTCAGGAGTCTGATAATTTACAAAAAAATTTTCATTTTACTAAACATGCATAATTTATATTGATGTGAATTTAAACGCTTTAATTATTGGAATTTTTTGTTTCGGTATTCTCCAAATCGCTTGGTATAAATCGCTTTTTGACAACAAAAACGTTGGCAATTATTTCAAAATAATTGGACTTCGTTCATTGTGCTGCCCACCGACTGCTGTTCAAAGGACGTTAATGAATTTCGAAATTTAAATCAGCTCTCATTTCTATAGAGCTAAAATAACCTTGCGGGCGTACAAATAATAACCCTTTACAGCCATTAAATCAACAATCTGTTGCAATATTGAATGAAAGCCTTTTTAACGTTTTTAGCAGTTACTTTGTTTTAAGCATTTATTTTTTACTAATGGTTACCTGGTAAAACAGAACATTTAACCGCTGCTGATGAAGTGAACTATCCATGTCACTTGATTACGTTGCGGTGTAATTAGTCAGTTTGGCCGTCAAAAAATGTCCCTGGCTGGAAATGAGACCAAACGTTTGTTAATTAGCAAACGCAAATACACACGTGAGTTTGCCTGTTTGTGTGACATAAATCGAACTGACGGATGGCTCAACCGGTCCGTGAAAAGTGGGCTGACAACGGGGTGGGCGTGGCACCCGGTCCTGACATGCACATGCCCAAAATGCACAGCTCGACAGAATGTTAGTCGGCCGAGCTTCCTTTACCCCCGCCTTTGTCTAGGTGCGGAAATGTGTCGAACTCTGCCATGTTGCGATACGACAAAATTGGGTCGCATTTCAACAATTTTTCGACTACTACTGGCCAGTGAAATGCTGGGCCGACAGTGCTGACACAATTTGATTGGGGAAAAATACTGGAAAACTACACAAAAACAATCGTTAAAAATACTAAACATTTCGGAATAGCTAGCCTTTTTGAATTTGTCTTTTTATACCCGTTACTCGTAGAGTAAAAGGGTATATTGTATTCGTGCAAAAGTATGTAACAGCTAGAAGGAAGCGTTTCCGACCCTATAAAGTATATATATTCTTGATCAGGGTCACTAGCCGAGTCGATATAGCCATGTCCGTCTGTCCGTCTGTCCGTCTGTCCGTCTGTCTGTCCGTCTGTCTGTCTGTCTGTCTGTCCGTATGAACGCTGAGATCTCGGAAACTATAAAAGCTAGAAGATTGGCATTTTGCATGTAGATTTGAGCAGTTCCTACGCAGCGCAAGTTTGTTTCAAAATGGTGCCACGCCCCCTCTGACGCCCACAATCGCTTATATTTTAAAAATTTAAATATTTCGGAAAAGTAAAAATGCAGTTTTATTGTGTTTATCAATACCTATCGAAATGTAGAAGACATTTTTCAAATCGGACCATTTGTTAAAAAGTTATGCGTGATCAAAGTTTCTATCTTCATCTCCCTCGCACTCCCTTTACCTGAGTAACGGGTATCTGATAGTCGGGGCACCCGACTATAGCGTTCTCTCTTGTTTAGTTTAATTTCCTGTGCGACTAGCAATAGTTCTCTAACTATTTATTGTACACTTCAGACAAGAATTGTAAAATTATGCTACAGGGGGAATTCGGCCATACATAGGTTCGGTTAGGTTATAAGTTTATTTAATTATCTCTATATATACATCATATATTTGATAATCATTAGTAGGTAATACAAATCAAACAGCTCAACTGCTCCTACACCATTTTTGGTCTGTTTTGTTATTAAAGGGAAAGTAAATTGGTAAATTATGAGACCTATAAAAGCTCAAAACCTTTTTCTGTTTGCTCGACTGTAAAACATTGTAAAGAAACACAATTTTTTTTTAATTTCTTCAGGAGCAGCTAAAAAATGGCTAGGATGGCAACTCAAACTTGAAAAACGAAAAGTGCGCTGCTTGAATATTTCTCGACGAATCTGTATACCAGTGCACTGCAGTGTGTGTCTGGCTGTGAGATTGTCTCTGTGTGACTTTGCGATGACATTTCAACTTTGCCCCGACCAGGCTAATGCAATGAAAACTTGCAGCTTGCCTTGGTTTTTGGTCCTTTCCCATATCTCTCTGGAGTTTTTTCCCGTGACTTAAAGTCGAGAGATACCGGATGAGGCAAAAATTGCAATTAGACGTACACAGTTTCATAATCGGAGTTCGACCAACTAGAGTCCTGCAAACCAACGGAACTGTCCGGCTATAAATATCCAGCCTCTGGCCATTTGCAATCAAAATTTGTGCTGACTTCAAAGAGCTGACGCTGCAAAAATAAAGCGTTGCATTGCTCAAGGCGCAGCAAGTTATGCTTCAAAGGACTAAAATATATGACAGAAAAGCCATCTGTTTTAGTTGCTTAATAAAAGAAATTATTTGGTAGATGAAAAGCTTTTTCCTTAATATGGTGAGCATTAAAAATAAGCCGCTCATTATAAATACTTTTATAAAAATAACGCAATATGTACATTTACATCGTTGGCTCTTGAATATCACAAGTATTTTGGTTATTTTTATTAAAGTTTATCCCTCATTAAAATGATAGATATTTTCAATACTTTTCTTTGTTTACATAGGTATTAACCATCATTTTTATTACATATATGTATGTACTATTTTTCAAAAATAATTGTTTCTTTTCAAGCTGATCAAATTTACCAAGTTTGTGGCATCAGCGAATCGAAATTAAAGTCTTTCGATAAAATTCCCTTTAAGAGCTGCCAGCAGTTGGTTTATTGAATCTGAGTAAGCTTGAAGTTTCTGATGCCCAAAAATAGCCCCACCCCGAGCCCAGTTCCCATTGTAAAAGTTTCTCCTTTTTTTTTGGGGTGCTCTGCCATTTTTATTTGAGTTTTCACTTACCTGGCGCTTAAGTGTTTCTTCTACCAGGCCGTTTGCCATTTGTTTCGTCGATGCGAAAAGTTTGCGAGAGTCTTGTGTGCGGGCTACTTTTATGATTATTGCCAGCCTGCCTGCCAGCTCAACCTTGGCGAGAAAGTATCTTCTCGAGAAAGTATCTCGTATCTGTGCGCCGTGAGCCTATGGCATACTTAAGCCTTAATGTTAATTTTAAGCTTTTGATTTAGGGCAGCCAGAAGGCCGGCTTGAATCCCCTTTTTTTCCATTTCAGGCCCGGACTCCTGGCGTGCTGCCATGCCGCAAAGTACACACCAGACATGGACGTGTACATGGAAAAACAGTTGCCATTGCATTTGAAATTGCAACTGCAACTGCAATTGCCACCCCCAGCCTAACCACCAATCCATGTGCAGCTGTTGCCCGCGTGGAAGTGCACTTCACTTTGTCTAATTGTAAAATAAATAAATGAGATAAATACGCAAAGTGGCAGGGGCGTGTAAAAAATGCAAAGGGAAATGAAAAATTACGCTCGAGCTGCGTTCACCCCAAGAACCAGATACACTGATAGAAATAACATACTTCCAGGAGCCAAATTCCAGGCTACATATTAACGTTGATGGTATATACAAAAATGAATTTCAAATGGTGAACTTTTGTTTGGCAGCCAACCTATTTATATATATTTATTTATAACATTAGTCTTTTCTTTTTATAAAAATCGTTTTACTACTTTTGTTTCAAGATTTTTAATTTGGAATTATGATTTTGATAAATTAATTAATTCAAGCAACTTTGTTAAATATATATACCATTTTGGACCGTAGTGTACTCTACTGCTGCTGCTGCTTAGACTCATGAGTCCGTAAGCAGAGCTCCTTGGGGAGGGCTGTCGAAAATAATAAATCAAAGTGACACATTGAGAATGCAAAGGCCCGTGCCCACTCCACCATGTCACAATGCTACCTCTGTCCAAGGACCACAGCCATCTTCTGCAGCTTTGCCCCACCTGGCTAAAAAAGACAAAGCGAGCGGAGCTTTCAATTTCAACGCTCCACAACGCCAAGACTGACGCTTGACAGACACAAGACGTTGCAGCAACAAGAAGTGCACCTTTAGCAGAAAAGGAGAAAAATAAATGGAAAAAAAAAGGGAAAATATCTGGAGCGGGTGCAGACACTTTACTTTGCGGGGAGCGACTGGCATCAACCCTTCCGTCATTGTCAGACGAAGTTGTTCAAGTACTTTGCGGATAGGATAGAATGGCTTGCTGTCGCAATTTAGATAAATTTTAATTTTAATAAAGTGTTTGCTCTGCTCTTCTTGGCCACTCGAGCAGATACTCTCGGCATTATGAATTAATTATCCCAGCAGTCGTTCGCCGGCTTTGGTTGCGGTATTTTAAATTTTTGTCGAGCGGGCAAACGGGGCGGTTTCGGCGGTATGTCGTAGAAGAGCCCGTCTATTTGCCGTATGGTCTTGCAAGCCATGGCCTCCTCGAGGGCCTCCATGATTACCTTCAAGCAGACTTCGCCCGGAAAGCCCGTCTTCCTCGTCACGAAGGTGGCCAGATCGCGAAGGGAGGAGCCCGTGGTTAAGTCCCGCAGTCCTGCCATGATGAGCTCCTGGGGAGAGTTAATAGTGCGATCATAATATATAAGAGGCATGGTGAGTGTGATTTAAAAAAACGTAAATTTTGTGCTCTCATCTGAATGAAGTATAGATCAGTTTATTCGGTTCTTGGCACACTATAAGAAATTTTTAAAAGCTAAGACCAAAAACATTTTAAAATAAAGAAGTAAATTACAATTACTTACAGATACTTAACTTTAAGATTTTTAAGATGAATTTGTTTTCAAAAGTTAATAAATTTAAAAACAAATTTAATTCAAAACAGGAATATTTTCATAAAAATTTAAAGTCTTACCTGATGTCTGTGAGTAAAGCCATTATCTCGACATACCGTTAGCCATCTTCAGGGATTCTATATTCCAATCTTGCCAGATGATGAGTTAAATTTTTTCACGCCAATTCTTTTTTTTTTTGGCACCAATAGCGACGGGTCTTAACCCCTTGTTGCCCCCACACTTTCTACAGTTTTCCACACATGCCCTTGCACCCAACCGTTGCCTGTCAAATTAATGCCTTACTTCATGCGCCCCGTGGAGCGCTGACTTCACTTTTTTTGGACTCCTTTTTTGGGCTGCTGTTAAATTAAAATTAAAGCAAGCGGCTGTAGTTTGGCTTAACTGGATACAAGCGGGGCTATTTTCAGACTCAATGATACATCGGTGGCGAATGCCAAAAAGATCAAAAGGCGGCCAAAAGTTTTGCATTTCTTTCTTTCCTTCCCTCGGCGAACAATTTGAATGAAGCGCGCAAATTGAATAAAAGGCCATTGCCACAGTTCAAGCTGAAAAACTGCTGGCTGTGATAAAATCATCAGTTTCCATCCCGGCTTCCCCGTCTTCTTTTTTCACTCCAGAAGTTTTTTATGGTCCAGTCTACGTGGAATGAGCAGGATTGGGTAAGCTGGTAATAAATTTTTATTGCACAAACGAATTCAATAAAATCAGCCAAGAAGGAAGAATAGAACTAGAGATGAAGTCGCAAGAGCTTTTGTGCTTCTTAATTAAATAATTTTTGGTCTTGTAAGGCTGTGAATATAGGAAGTACTAGCTATAAGTGAAGCAAATAATAAAAATGGCAATTGAGCTTTTTAATTATAATTGAAATTACCAAAATAGACTTAAAAAAATTAGTATGATTCTAATTTTAAGACTAACGTCTTCCTGTGTATTTATGTTTTAAATTTGTACTTTTGAGAAGTGGAAGCTTAAAAAATAATTGAATTCATTTATTCAATTATAGACTAAAATATTTGTTGAACACTTTTGCTCATATTTTTATTCGCATTCGCTTTTATTAATTTATATGTTTGATTAGTGAGAATATTGCACTGGTTAGAAAAGCGCTTTGTTGTTGATTACCGGCAATTATACAATCAGGCACGTCTGAGTTCCATTTGCATAACCCGATCTAACCAGAAGTATTCATATCGATGTGCAGCTAGAATTAAATGCAATTTATGCAAATTCCTGGCATCACTTACTCTAAGCTAAAAATGGCCACTGCAATAAAAGGGGCGTGGAATTACATTAAATCAAAATTGAACGCATTCGGAAAACTCAAAAAGGATGGGAGTGTTTGTGTGTGTGAATTGAATCTAATTTTATGCATTTGCTGTATCAACGCATAAATTATGATAAAAGGCATAAAATATGCATGCTGGGGGTTTGAGTGAGCCAGAGCGGAAGTCCGAGTAAATTATGCAGATGGTGGAGAACGGAAATGCGAGAAATAGAACGGAATGAAAGCTATCTGGGGAATGGACTAGTACCGCCGACCCATCCCAATTTGAAATTTATGCTGAAACCATGTCAAAGATCAGCTCGACACAGATGCTCACTGAATTAGCCAGCGCAAATATTTATGACCATCCCAAAGGCAGAATGGGTCGAACACTTTACGTAAATGTTTGCCAGCCACCTGTTCGCAGTTGTCAGCCACGAATGCAGCAAAAAAGGCGAAAAAAGGTGCGGATTGTAGCAAAAAGCAGCTAATCCGACTGAGCGCCAATTTGGGACACATGTAGACAGTTTGTGCAGTTGACAGCATACTGCCTTTCCGCTCCCCGTTTACCTTTGAAACTCATTTGGCGCAAAGCTGACAAGTCCCGGACGGATTGGATAGCCCGACGCCCGTCGTTCAATTAGCAGACGGTCACAGGGCATTCCCCTGGTCGTCTGTCTTTTATTAAAATGTCCTATGCCTGCTGTCCTTCGCAGTAATAAAACAAGAAAAGAATACTACACTCGAGTGTGCCAGCTATAAGATACCTCGTAGCTTCTTTTAGTCAATAAAAGTCAATTACTTCATCGGTTGGAACAATAAAATAACCTCAATACATGTTGAATTAAACAATAAAACCAATTGTAGCTATATTTTTTTACTTTTTACTTACAAAAAAATATAGGTCTGGTCAATGTAAACTGTGTTTAGTAGTTTATTTCTTCGACTACTAAATAAAGTCGAAGCCTCCTCTCTATCGTATTTAATATATCCTTTTAACTTACAAGTACCGAGTATATAAAGAAGACCGTTGTAAGAAACCAAGGAGTGAAGGAAAAACGACAAGCGAAATGCAAACTAATTGAAAACACTTCAAAGGACATCAATATCAAAAGCATGGACGTTGACAGAGACAAGAAGAGAGATAGTCAACCCGTCCTTCAGTCATCCGGCAAATGTCAACCGAACAAAGCATAAAATTGTCTCCAGTCCGCAGAATGTACGAAAAAAGGCCAGGACATTCTAAGGCCGAGCAGCAGGACTCGCCACGACCAGGCCCAATCAAATCAGAGCTATGCCAAAATTAAAAATATTTCCACACAGCAGATCACTCATTCATGCAACTTTCGGACCGCCTCTCCTCGACCCAAACATCTAATGTAAAATATATAAAGCAAGGGCCGAAGTAATAGCACTGCGCTTATAAAATATAACCTTTTAATTTTATAAATATAAAAATAAATTATAAATTTTAAAAATGAGTTGCTTCAATTAATTTTAACATAATTTCGAAATAAGAGTAATAGATTAGATTAAAAAGATTATTTTCTCACTGCAACTGTTCGTATGAAATTCGGCAGATGTGCGAACGAATGGGTCGGAGGACTTGTGCAGTTTCTATTTCAGGTGGTGGCCAGGCACGACCCCTGGCAACAATAAGTGGATAAAATCGTTTTCAGTTTCCCTCAGTGTGTCCGGCTTGCTACAAAATCAATTTACAACGGAAGCTTACTTACATAACCCCCCCGAGACACATAATCCTGTTTATACGAGTGTGCCTGTGTGTCCAAATGATTCCCGCCCACCCAAACGCCAGTGCATATTGGGGCTGTCTCGGTTTGGTCCAGTGTTTTCCTTTGGCATTTCACAAAATATCACAGGTAACTGTCTCTGGACAATGTCAGCACATCCTTTCGTTCAACTTTGCCGTTGCTGTGGTCGGAACTTTTGCATATCGGTCACATTGTCCTCGAGGGCGGCACGTGTCCTGCCCTCTCTACGAATCGTATTTTCCCAGAATCCCATATTCCTCCTTTGTGTGTAAAGGCTTCGATTGCAGGTTATAATACGGTTATGCCTGCAAGCATTTATTTGCCTTAGTTAGATTTTGTTTGTTGTGAAAATTTCATAAATATTTACGTGCTGTCAGCTGCAGTTTTACTTATTGTTTATGTCCCTTTAATACCTAACTGAATAAAAATCCCATTTGTGTGTGATGTGTGTGTTGAAAGTAGATATCCCTGTGCATTAAGACACTTAATTACTGATCCCTGCTGGGATACGATGCGTATACGCAATATATAATTCAATATTGCATCGTATAATTTACGTGATATCGAGGCCAAGCGGATTAATGAATATCGACAAATGCTGAAAGGGAATTATTTTCATTTCGACAAAAGCTGCTTTAACGCATCTTAGTTTTTAGTTTGAAACTCAATTTGTATTAGTTTGTGTACTTACCTAAGCTGCAAATGCAAGACTTGTATTTTCCTTGGTGATTATTGATTTATCTTGAACAAATATATATTTTCGTTGATGGTTTAAGCAGCTTAGTAAAATGTAAAATTTAATTTTAAGGTTTTAAAAGCCTTTTAGGCAAAGGCATCATATACATATGCTGCTATAGCATACATATATATGTTTTTATTGGCTTGTTCGTTTATAGCCTTATATATTTAAAGTATTTTTTTCCGAAGTAGAAAAAATTATAAAAAGTAAGTACTTTTAAATGGTAGAACATATTTAAAATTCTCAGGATATGTAAAATCAATGCATTAGACAAGGCTCTTATAAGGCAAAAAGGCTACCAAACTTTTCTGGCTTAACGAAACTTAAGTGCTGGCCAAAAAAGAGAAAAATGCCATTTTTAAATCAAATGAGAGCTGGTAAAATACATTTTCAATGCAAATAGTACCACAACGGGTAACTTTGATTTGAGTTCCAATGTAAACCGAAGCTCATAAGTTGCCGGCAGTTGAATATGCAGAATGATTATGTCTCCCTTCCTGAACTGGAGTAGATTAAAGACACCCAAGAAGCCACTCAAAGTCAACTTGAGGGCCTGGGCGAGCTGAGTGAGTGGATAAAGTCAGATGGGCACTCGAAAAGTTTTTAAAGTTTGTGCGCAACAATGAGATCCTTGTGCTGCAGCTGCAGCTCCTTTGCTCCTTTTCCTGCTGCTGCACCTTTTATCCTGATTTTGCAGTCAAAGTTGCTTGGCAACATTGCGCCAATTCAATTGATTTGCTCTTCGAGTGCAGTGCGTTTTTAAGAGCTAGTGCAAATAAAACTAATGCAATGTATGCCCCGAAAAGTTGGCTGGTTACACAGCCATTACAGAGATATCCTGGCCTTAATTAAACTGATTGATTCTCGGTTTTGGTGCTGGCCGCTTTTCTATTTTATTTTCCCGTAAAGCCAATACTGCTTTTCCTTTACAAATAAATGATCTAAGTCTGATTGTTAAAAAAATTAATTTTATTTGTTGAATGAACACTTGATCTGGGAAACTAAAAGTTATACTAGTTTTAGTTTCTATAAAAACATGCGAGAATATTTTACTGTGATGGCAAAATTTCTTAT